TCAGCTGTGACAGTAACGTCATCTTACCCAGCAGTGTGATGTAAAATCTGCAACGCGTGTTAGTAATGCAGCAAGGTGGGTTTACTTGCTATAAAAGCCCTAAGATCATAATTTACCTCTGATAACGTTTAGAAATCAGTCTCGTTTACAAACCGAAACGAATAATATGGCCAGTATGCACGTCAGAATAATAACCCCCACCTCACTGTGCCAGTTTGGAGTAATGCAGTTTTGCATATCAATATTATATTAGTATTTTGTTTATACTCGATTCATTATCATTTTGAAATTGATAGTCAAAAATATGTCACTCCGAAATCGTGTGTACCCACTACTCGCTGAAACTTAAAAACAATTTTATTTTCACACACTAAACTATTGTATCATACAAAGTCCAATAGTGGAGATGCAGACATTTCAGAGTGAAGTTACACAGCCAACCAGGACAATATCACAATACACATAACTCCGTAGGATGTTTGACTATTTTTTAATAATCCCGAATTTCTGTGAAACGTAGCCTGGGTATTTAAACAGCGAATGTTTACTGCAAAAAATAATTTCCATATCGATCCTGTCTTTGCTAAACGTTCTGACGGAATATTGTCAAGCCTCGGTTTAGGCAACAATTGTATTTAAGAATAACTGTGTCTCAAAATTTATTCAAATCCTGAATGATTTTTCGGGCCTAATCATTTCATCTGAATGAATTTTGAGCAGTTACGACTATAGACTCCATAGTGCGTCACCTGAACTCCAATATGGCAATCCAATACCCATTAGAAATCTGTGTCTTCAAAATTCCACTTCTTCTTTACGGAAATAAAGATAGGCTGCCTTATCAAACTTCTTGAATGTGCCTTGGTTCACTTGCTCTCTTCAGGAGCATAAACAGCTCTATCCTGGCGTACGGGGTTGATTCCGGACATCCGTTGACCCCAACGAAGCTTTCTTAATCATCTACAAGCTCCCATCAAATTATCCAAATTTCTGGGTCAGCGCCTGCTAGCAGCAGCGGAAGCGACCTCTATCAGGTTGATGAAGCCGGTATTGTGTGCGCAAAGGGACTTCCTACAAGCTCCGCAGTTGGCGTGGCCCACAGTCACCTAGCGGCATGCACTCATCCGCGCTCTGTTTGTCTACCTCCCCTCCCCCATAACCCTCCACGAAACCCTGCCCTCATAACCAGACTTCTCTTGTCGACCATTCCCGATTCCCACGACTTACTTGTACGAACAGTCGAACACGTTTTAACATGCACCTCCTTCCCAAATTAATGTTTTGGCCTGACGATAATTTATCAAAAGTATACGTACGCCCGCAAAACTAGTCTTCTGAATTCTCTGATGGGGATTATCGCAACTCTAAAGCAAATTATTTGTTGAAATACTGGGATGCCTACCCACATGTAAGTAAGAGCACACCATTTATAGCTAGACAAAGATATAGAAAATTTCATTTTTGATGCATATGTGACTCACAACACTGACAGCGACTGACGACAGTTCAACCAGAGTTTCTGACTATGCCCATCGGTTATCTCACAGCAGGGTGGACGCAGGTACATTGAGGTACGTCTGGATGACTTTATACAAATAGAAGAAATGCACAAAATCACTTCATTTTTGACAGAAACGGGCGAAGGCAATTGGTTCGGCGTGAGACTGTTCTTAGGACTGTCACCGAAATCCTCCATATAGGAGCAGGCATTCACAATAAATCACACCTCGGTTTGTGATCATCCACAACATCTACTCATTTCGAGCACCGGATCAATTGATTTATTGTTCTGAGCTGCTTCAGAGATAAGAAGCAGCAACCAAAAGGAGGGTAATTATAGTGGCCAAAGGCCAATCAACTGTCAGCGGTCGTCAAGGTGAAAGAAACATCAACCAAAAGGATGGAGGTCGGGGGGGGGGGCAATTATAGCGGTAGACGCTAATTAACTGACAGTGAAGACGGCGGGCGTTCGGGGTTATAAACAGTAATTAGTGTTATGCCTTGTCCCCAGGGTAGAAGGTCACGGTGATCCGGCCTCCTCTTCTGGCCGGTCCGCGGTGGGGTCCTTTTCGTTTGCAATTCTGACGTTAGGCTTGGCCTTGTTTCGTCCTTTGCTTACATAATGACGTAACACTTTGATGGCCGCGGGAGGTCTGGATGCCTGTTGACGGAGTTGGCATCCGAGTACCATGTCTCAAGTGTCAGCCTTTCGGCTTTTGAGTTTCCTCGGCTTATGCTGGTTGCTCCTTGAATGTCAAAGTCGTGGCCAGTTTCTCCAATGTGTGATGCAAGCTGTGAGTTTGGGTCTAGTCTCTAAGCCGCCAGTTAGTGTTCGTGTAGGCCGGTCTGCAATTTTTGGCCTGTTTCTCCTACTTAGTTACAGTCTCCGTTGTTGCAACGTATCTTGTAGGCAACTGCAGAGGTTTCGGTAGGGGGAAGTGTGTATTTGGGTTGCATCACACGGCGGCATATTGTTGCCTCAGGTCGATGAGCCACGCCTACTCCAGCGGAATGTAACAGTCGTTGGACTGCTTTAGCGACTCCTTTTATGTAGGGAATGACCCTCCAGACTTCAGGTTTTTGTTGCAGCGGCCGTAACCAGTTCAATTGGCGCTTGCTTCGTTTGATAAATGAGATAAGGTATCCACTGGCTCGGAAGACTTCATGAAGGTATTGTTGTTCAACACTTCGAACCGGCCAGAAGACGAGGCAGGATCACCGTGACCCTCTACCCTGGGGACAAGGCGGTCCTTCGGGGTCACAAACAGTAATTATTGTTATGCCAAACTTACAGCTTGCAGCACACATTGGAGAAACTGGCCACGGCTTTGACATTCAAGGATCAACCATCATAGGCCGAGGAAACTCAAAAGCTGAAAGGCTGACGCTTGAGGCATGGTACTCGGATGCCAACTCTGTCAACAGGAATCTTGACCTCCCCGCGGCCTACAAAGTTTTACGCCAGTATGTAAGCAAAGGGCGGAATAAGGCCAAGCCTAACGTCAGAATTGCAAACGAAGAGGAACCAACTACGAACCGACCAGAAGAGGAGGCAGGATCACCGGGGCCCTCTACCCTGGGGACAAGGCATTACACTAATTACTGTTCATGAACCCGAACGACAGCCGTCTTCACTGAAAATTAATTAGCGTTTACCACTATAATTGCCCCCCCGACCTCCATCCTTTTGGTCGATGTTTCTTTCACCTTGTAGACCGCTGAAAGTTGATTGGCCTAAAATTACCCTCCTTTTGGTTGCTGCTTCTTATCTCTGAAGATGAACTCCCTTAAGAGTTCGAACGCTAAGGACAATAAATCAATTGATCCGATGCTCGACACGTCTTCTTCCTTATCCATGCATATACTTGGAACGCAAACTTTTTCATTCACCTACTCATATTTGTCGTTATATAGTGGTCCCATTTTGCGCCAACACTCAACCGGTCATGGCTGCTAGCACTCGCGCACGCACCAGTGCATACCTACCCCAATCCGGTCTTGCCGATCAACTTCAAGGTCAAGTCCCTTCAGACTATTTTTT